TAGTTTGTACATCTCAATTGTCAGTATAAACCACATTTGTTTAGGCAAGTCAGCCATTTCAGCTATGTTTTTTTAAAAGGCAGTAAATGAGAATGAATTAACTGGTTCACTGCCAGACAAGGCTCTGCTGATAGCCAGGTGTAGCAGTGGTAAGGTGTTGGGACTGCTGTTGGGACTCTGCTGTTGGGACAGTTTTATGTAGGCCGTAAGAGTTTGTGGGCACCGTTTGTCACCATTATAGTGCAATTAATGTGTTGTTTAGTGTTGTGTTGTGTAGTGGCTTTGCTGTCATGCATCTAAAAAAGAAAATGTTTTGTTTGCCCCACCAGGATTTACATGCTAAAATCGCCACTGGCCATAACCCTAACCCTAGCTTCGTCTCCACATCTTGGCTCAACCCTCCACATAATGGTTAGGGTTGAGGTTTGAGTTATGCTTTAGCCGGGATATGGACAAGAAGTTAGGGTTAGGGTTAGGGTTGAGCCAAGATGTTGAGAGGGTTAGGGTTGAGCCGGGAGTGGCAATGAAGCTAGGGTGAGGGTTAGGCAGAAGCGGATGTAGCTTGAAGGCTGTGGGTGTGACCGCCCTGGGTGGAATGAAAGGGGTATCCTATCAGTTGAGGTGCGTGAGTGAAATCACTGGGTGAGCCAAGCCAGGGAAAAAAGCCATATTACAACATATGTGTTGTGATTATTGCGTTGTTTGCTCTATAACCTGTTAGTTCATATGCCTTGACACCTTGATATATAGGCCTAAGGCCTTGACAATAAGAAGACACAGTGGCAGAATGAATTCAACCACACCTTTGTTTCATCACAAAACCGGAGAGCAACATCTGTCCGGTGAAGTCCACAAAATATATTCCATGTAACAAACAGTTACATGACCTACAGCATATGGTCCTCTGTAGCTCAGCTGGTAGAGCACGGCGCTTGTAACGCCAAGGTAGTGGGTTCGATCCCCGGGACCACCCATACACACAAAAAAAAAAAAAAAAAAAAAAAGATGTATGCACGCATGACTGTAAGTCGCTTTGGATAAAAGCGTCTGCTAAATGGCATATTATTATATTATATGGTCAAGCAAGTTAATGTTTCCGACATTTTCGGACTGCTAAACAACCATTGATTTAGAACCACAGAGAGTTACCGCAAGTCGCAAGAAAACAGGTGCTGCCTCCACTATTCCAGCACCATTTCAACTTCAACATCATCTAATGACCTATGCTTAGTCTAATACAATGACAACTAGCAGATACCAAAAACGATTTAGTCCAATCAACGTAAGCTAAATATGATGTCACTGTCCATGGTACTGATTTCTGTGTGTGTGTGTGTTTTAGTTTTTGTTGTCCTAGGCTACATGGCTAAAATGCCAGGCCAGCTAGTTAACATTAGCCTTCTACATCTAGCTACATGTTGAACTTCCATCCTTTCAGGCCAGCAGCACAATGTACGAATTTATGGTTGGATCAGAATCACCGTTATAATCATTGGCCAGTATGGAGAATTAAGTCCAAACCCTATCTCCATCCATGGCTAATTTAGGAAAGGGACAACTTTAGCTAGCTAGCTAGCCACCGGAAGACAACAACACAACGAGATGCAACAATTCAAGTTTTTTCTGTAAATGATGTTTGGCTTTTGGTGTGATGTGAAGGCAAATCCAAACTGGCTTCCCTTGACCCTTTTTTGGTGCGCCAGGACCATTCACAGTTGAGCTCACTCAGTTTAGCTCAATGCTGATTGGCTGTTATTATAAAAATATATATATCAAGGGAGGCCAAATGCTTGCTGGCTTCCCTTGTATTCAGTGCTATGGGACGCAATAATATCATATTATTTTTGACCAGACAGCATCAGATAGATGGGCGTCACATACAGAGACAGAGGGGCGTTGTTTCGCTCGCTCAGATGCTTTCTCCGGTGAGATACATTCAGCCTTTTGCGAATTGAAGGAAAATGATGAAGCACAGAGACACTAAAGATAAATTATTTTTAGTTTGTAAAATGTATTGGGAAAGTGTGGCTTACCTTGGTATCCATGAATACACACCACTGTTTCCTAGTCAGTTGCACAACTGAACTGTTTCCTAGTCAGTTGCACAACTGAATGCATTCAACCAAAACATGTCTTCTGCATTTAACCTAACCCCTCTGAATCAGAGAGGTGCCGGCGGCTGCCTTAATCGACGTCATTGGCGACCGGGAAGCAGTTGTTGGGTGTTAACTGCCTTGTTCAAGGGCAGAACGGCAGATATTTTTACCTTGCCAGCTCGGGATTTGAACCAGCTTTATTTCAGAGGGTTAGGGTTGAGCTGGGAGTGGACATGAAGCTAGGGTGAGGTATGGGCAGAAGTGGAGGTAGAGCGAGGGCTGTGGGTGCGAATACCCTAGGTTCCACTGTTCCTGGAGTAAAAAAAAATAAAAATAAAATATTCAACAAAAAACATTCTCTTAACACAATAAAACATGGCAAATGTACTGTATATATAATTGATGTATATTATATGATTTGATTAAATCCTGGAATTGGTCTGAGCTGGTGTTGCTTATTTTATAAAGCAATGTACAGCTGTGTCTATCGCCATACCCCCTTGGGACTGGTTGCTGCGCTGCTCGCCTGGTTGGACACTGGTGATTATGGCTATATGCAATTGCAAACAATCTTATATTCCCGTGCCCTTATCACAGACAAAACACACCTATTTTATAGTAAGAATTTAATGGAATATATAACACAATGAAGTAGAAAATAATATTATTCCAAATGAAAAAAGTTCCCAGCGGGAAGTGAGATGTTTATCTCCTGTCTGGAATGATTACTTTTTAAAATGAGTAAACATTTGAGAAGGGTCTCATGCTCTGAATTTTAGGAGTTGAAAGACATTTTGTTCAGGGTTATAAACCACATATCCTCTTCTTTTCTATAATTTATATATAGACGTTTGTTCGGATTAGGTTCTGCCAGTTCTTTGGACATTTCAAAATGGATTGCCAATTTCACAATGCCAATTGAGAACGATGAATTAACTTTCACCCCATGACAAAACACATCTTTTTGGTGAATAGTGTTCTTTCCTGAAACTTGTTTTTCAAATGGCATGTGAAAGCAAAAGTAGTCTATTCTACATTAGATTATTAGGTTGAACTATAGCCAAACAGGCACATGGGATTCAGTTGTTGTTGTGCTTGACTACAGAAAGCAATATCGAATTGAAGTGGATGTGTTCGCTGTTTACAGTGTACAGTCGTGGTCAAAAGTTTTGAGAATGACACAAGTATTCGTCTTCACAAAGTTTGCTGCTTAAGTGTTTTTAGATATTTTTGTCAAATGTTACTATGATATACTGAAGTATAATTACAAGCATTCCATAAGTGTCAAAGGCTTTTATTGACAATTACATTAAGTTTATGCAAAGAGTCAATATTTGCAGTGTTGACCCTTGTTTTTCAAGACCTCTGCAATCCGCCCTGGCATGCTGTCAATTCACTTCTGGGCCACATCCTGACTGATGGCAGCCCATTCTTACATAATCAATGCTTGGAGTTTGTCCGAATTTGTGGGTTTATGTTTGTCCACCCGCCTCTTGAGGATCGACCACAAGTTCTCAATTATATTATCAAGTAATCCTTCTAGTAATCCTTCTACCCCCCCCCCCCACCCCTCCCCATAAAAAAAAGAAGAAGAAAAGTGGTTGTCCCACTTGCTATCATAAGTTGAATGCACCAATTTGTAAGTCGCTCTGGATAAGAGCGTATGCTAAATGATGTAAATGTAAATGTAAATGTATTAAGGTCTGGGGAGATTCCTGGCCATGGACCCAAAATGTCGATGTTTTGATCCCCGAGCCACTTAGTTATCACTTTTACCTTATGGCAAGGTGCTCCATCATGCTGGAAAAGACATTGTTCATCACCAAACTGTTCTTGGATGGTTGGAGGATGTGTTGGTACCATTCTTATTCATGGCTGTGTTCATAGGCAAAATTGTGGGTGAGCCCACTCCCTTGGTTGAGTGTCACGGTTTCTGCCGAGGCTGCTCCTTCTCCTTGTTCGGGCAGGCTTTGGCGGTCGTCGTCCCCGGAGTACTAGCTGCCACCGTTCGTTGTTTCTGTGTTTGTTTGGTTTGGTCTGTTTTGGTACACCTGTTTCTCATTTTGTCTTGATTATGTGTCCTTTAAGTTCTCGTTGTTTCTGTCTTGTGGTTGTGTGTAGTTGTTCCATGTCAGCAGGTGTTGCCAGTCAGTTTGTGCTCTATTTTTATAGAGAGTCCGCACTGTTGTGCGTTGTTGTATTTTTACGCTGAGTGCGTTATTTTCCTTGTGCCTCCGGCTCTGTTTGTAGCCGTACTTTCTGTGGACTTTATTAAAGTATTTTTGGACTTGCCATCTGCATACTGCATTGATTCCACACCCCACCTACGGCCCGTCTCTGACAGAACTACACCCATTTCCCAACCATTCATGGAATCAGCAGGAGCAGTAGCAATCACCAATTACAGGTCATGACATACCTGATGCTTGGAGAATGGGCACACGCTCCTACATACAGCCAGTGTTGCCCTTGTCCACGCTCGGAACCCCTGGGATCGCTTCCTCCCGAGGGCGATATCCGACTGCGGCGTCCAATTTCCCTTACTACAATGGATTACCTCGACTGTTTACCCGTTTGCTCGACACGAGATTGGTTCGCCCCATTCTCATATATCAAGGAATCCGTTGCATGCGCCTAACCGCCCCCGAATCACCCCCAGAAAAAAACATGCGGGTTTCCCCGCTTCTGGCTTATTGAATGCACCAATTGAAGCGGCTGGAGAAGCGTATGCTAATGATGTAATCGTAAGTGTAATGTATGAAGGTCGGGGAGATTTGGCCAGCCTGAATTCGATTTTTGGACGCAGGGCATGAGGTTCATCATTTTCCACTTAGGCAGCTGCGTCGATATGCGTCAAGTGAATTGCTCACCAAACTCCTCATGTTGGCAGATTGGTACACATTCATGGCTGACGTCGTGGCCCACAATGCGAGCCATCCTTGTGAGTGTCCGGTTCTGCGAGGGTGCTTCCCTGTCGCAGGCTTTGGCGGCGTCGCCCCGGAGACTAGTGCCACGTGTGTGTTTGTTTGTTTGGTGGTCTGATTTGGTAAATCCCGGTATATTGGTATGTTTGTGTCCTTGTCTGTTGTTTACTTTTAATGATGTTGTAGTTTGATCAGGTCAGCAGTGTTGCATGTCAGTTTTGGCTATTTATAAAAATCGCTAGTGTGCTTTGTTATTTACCTGATGCGTCTTTTCTTAGTGTTTTTAGCCGTATTTCTGGACTTTATAAAGTATTTTGGACTTTCATACTCATTTGATTCCAATTCACTACGCCGCCAAGAACGAACATTAATCTGGATCACACCAGCAGCAAACCGATCTTGGTGGAGGTCCGCACATGAAAGGTTTCAAACAGCTGTAACAGGGACAATGCATACCTCTGACATCTGGTGAATTAGCACCACAGCCTCTGCTACAGTTAGCCGGTCTACGTAACAATACTCGAATCAAGTGGATTCGGTCTGCTTCCAGGGTAGTATGGTAACAGTTTCCGAGATGCAAGGTTTTCAGTAGCTTACCACAACACCCGGTGCCTGGGACCGAGGTGTTTCGCCTCATCTCCTGTCTCATCTTACTAAGCTTGGAGTATGCCGAATGAGAGAATAAGCTCCAAGCTTATCACCTATGATTCATCGTCGTCAGGGTTATTTCCATCCTACCTGGAGGTTGCGGAGACTCTTCAATACCTCCGACAGGGGAGGCTAGGCCCAGGATCATGAGTTCCGGACCCTAGCGCAACCAGGGTGGAATAGCGGGCCCTCATTAGGCTTCCGTTGCAGCCCCTACGGGAGTCGACCCGTCTAGTTGCCTTCAGGGTACCACCTCCTTTGACAGTTAGTATCATGCCATTCCCCGACACCCTTTGCCCCCCAGACATACGAAGGGGGTCGTCCATTCCACCCTCCAGCACCTCCGAGCCTAGTCCTATGGAGCTCGGGGGTGCTGGCGCTAGAGAGGAGAGGAAAAGGAGCCCCAGGGGGACCAACCCCTGTACCTACTGTGGCCGTGGAGGACACACTGCGGCCAGGTGCTGGGGGGGGTCTCCTAGGGGAAGAGACGGCAGGTCACGCACTGGGGAGACCTTCCAGGTGAGTAGGCGCCCCACTTACCCAGAGCTCTCTGTTGTGCACCTAACCACACCTGTTTGCTTCCCACAGGTTGCACCTCGTTCCCAGCATAAGGCGCTAGTAGATTCAGGCGCAGCTGGGAATTTTATAGATCAGAGATTTTGTGCAGAGTTAGGGATTCCCCTCCTTCCTGTCAGTAATCCTTTCCCTGTACATGCTCTAGATAGCCGTCCGTTGGGATCAGGGTTGATTAGGGAGGTCACAGCTCCACTTAGGATGGGGACGCAGGAGGGTCATGAGGAGACTATTCAGCTATATCTTATAGACTCTCCTGCGTATCCGGTGGTGCTGGGGCTTCCCTGGTTGATTACTCATAATCCCTCTATTTCGTGGCAACAGAGGGCTCTCAAGGAGTGGTTTGCCCAGTGTGTAGGGCGATGTCTGGGCGTTTCCGTAGGGGCGACCTCGGTGGAAAGTCCAAACCAAATGCCCGCATTGCACATTCCCCCCGAGTATGAGGATTTAGCACTTGTGTTTAGTAAGGCGAAGGCGACGCAATTGCCACCACATAGACAGGGGGATTGTGCGATAGACCTCCAGGTAGGAGCTGCGCTTCCGCGGAGCCATGTGTATCCTTTGTCTCAAGAGGAGAAGAGAGCTATGGAGACTTACATAGCCGAGTCTCTGAGACAGGGATACATACGGCCCTCCACTTCCCCTGCGTCCTCGAGCTTCTTTTTTGTGAAGAAAAAGGATGGAGGTTTGCGCCCGTGTATTGATTACCGCAGTCTCAATCAGATTACTGTGAAATACAGTTATCCACTCCCTCTGATTGCGACTATGACGGAGTCTTTACACGGGGCGCGGTTCTTCACAAAATTGGACCTCAGGAGCGCATACAACTTGGTGCGTATTAGGGAGGGAGACGAATGGAAGACAGTATTTAGTACCACCTCGGGTCATTACGAGTATCTCGTCATGCCATACGGGTTAATGAATGCTCCTTCAGTCTTCCAATCCTTCGTAGATGAGATCTTCCGGGATATGCAGGGGCAAGGAGTGGTCGTGTACATAGACGACATTCTAGTGTATTCTTCTACCCGAGCCGAGCATGTAGCCCTGGTGCGCCGAGTATTGAGGAGATTGTTGGAGCATGATCTGTATGTCAAGGCAGAGAAATGTCTGTTTTTCCAGGAGTCTGTCTCCTTTTTGGGTTATCAGTTGTCTGCGTCAGGGGTAAAGATGGAGGTTGACCGTGTGTCGGCCGTGCGTAATTGGCAAACTCCAACCACCGTTAAAGAGGTGCAGCGGTTCTTGGGCTTTGCGAATTACTACAGGAGGTTTATCCGGGATTTTGGACAGGTGGCAGCTCCCATAACGTCTCTACTAAAGGGAGGTCCGGTGCGCTTGCAGTGGTCTGCTGAGGCTGATAGGGCTTTTGGGAGACTGAAGGACCTGTTTACCTCGGCGCCGGTGCTGGCGCATCCGGATCCCGCGCTACCATTCCAGGTCGAGGTAGACGCGTCGGAAGCCGGTATAGGGGCCGTGCTCTCGCAACGGTCTGGCACGCCACTGAAACTCCGCCCCTGTGCTTTTTACTCTAAAAAGCTCAGTCCGGCGGAGCGAAATTATGACGTGGGGGACAGGGAGCTGCTAGCCGTGGTCCAGGCCCTAAAGGTGTGGAGGCATTGGCTTGAGGGGGCTCAACACCCTTTCCTCATTTTGACTGACCACCGAAACCTGGAGTACATCCGGGCAGCTAGGAGACTGAACCCTCGCCAGGCTAGGTGGAACATGTTTCTGGCCCGGTTCGTTTTTAAGATCACGTACATCCCTGGGTCCCAGAACGGTAAGGCAGATGTCCTGTGCCGGCGGTATGACACGGAGGAGAGGTCCGTTGAGCCCACGCCCATACTCCCGCCGTCTTGCCTAGTGGCACTGGTGGTGTGGGAGGTCGATTCCGAAATCGAGCGGGTGTTACGTACCGATCCTAGCCCTCCACAGTGTCCTGTGGGTCGGAAGTATGTTCCGCTCGAGGTTCGGGATCGACTTATATATTGGGCTCACACGTCACCCTCCTCTGGACATCCAGGGATTGGCCGGACGGTGCACTGCCTTAGCACTAAGTACTGGTGGCCAACGTTAGCCAGGGATGTGAGGGTTTATGTTTCCTCCTGCTCGGTGTGTGCCCAGTGTAAGGCACCCAGACACCTGCCCCGGGGTAAGCTACAGCCCCTGCCCGTTCCACAACGACCCTGGTCTCACCTTTCGGTGGATTTCGTTACTGACCTTCCCCCCTCCCAGGGAAATACCACTATCCTGGTCGTTGTGGATCGGTTCTCGAAGGCCTGTCGTCTCCTTCCCATGCCGGGTCTCCCCACTGCTCTACAGACCGCTGAGGCACTATTCACTCACGTCTTCCGGCATTACGGGGTACCCGAGGATATAGTGTCTGATCGAGGCCCCCAGTTTACCTCTCAAGTCTGGAGAGCGTTCATGGAGCGCTTGGGGGTCTCGGTGAGCCTTACCTCGGGGTACCACCCGGAGAGCAATGGGCAGGTTGAACGGGTAAACCAGGATGTGGGTAGGTTTCTGAGGTCGTATTGCCAGGGCCAGCCGGAGGAGTGGGCGAGGTATGTTCCCTGGGCCGAGATGGCCCAGAACTCCCTTCGCCACTCCTCCACCAGACTCACTCCTTTCCAATGTGTATTAGGGTACCAGCCGGCCCTGGCACCCTGGCATCAGAGCCAGATCGAGGCCCCTGCGGTGGATGAGTGGGTGCGGAGCTCGGAAGAGACGTGGAACGCTGCTCACGAACATCTGCAGCGGGCCATCCGTCGACACAAGGCGAGCGCCGATCTCCACCGCAGTGAGGGACCGGTGTACGCACCGGGAGATCGAGTCTGGCTCTCGACCAGAAACCTGCCCCTCCGCCTGCCCTGCCGGAAGCTGGGTCGGCGGTTTGTGGGGCCTTTTAAAGTCCTGAGGAGGTTGAACGAGGTGTGTTACAGATTACAACTTCCTATTGATTATAAGAATATTAACCCCTCGTTCCATGTGTCTCTCCTCAGGCCGGTGGTAGCTGGTCCACTCCAGGACTGTGAGATAGCAGAGACTCCTCCGCCCCCGCTAGACATCGAGAGGGCTCCGTCGTACACAGTTCGGTCCATCCTGGATTCGAGACGCCGGATGGGAGGTCTCCAATATCTCGTGGAGTGGGAGGGGTACGGTCCGGAGGAGCGGTGCTGGGTGCCGAGGAGAGACATCTTAGACCCGTCCCTTCTGACTGAGTTCCATCGTGGTCATCCCACGCGCCCTGCTCCGCGTCCTCCTGGTCGTCCCCGAGGCCGGGGTCGGCGCACGGCTGGAGCCGCGCGTCAAGGGTGGGGTACTGTCACGGTTTCTGCCGAGGCTGCTCCTTCTCCTTGTTCGGGCAGGCTTCGGCGGTCGTCGTCCCGGAGTACTAGCTGCCACCGTTCGTTGTTTCTGTGTTTGTTTGGTTTGGTCTGTTTTGGTACACCTGTTTCTCATTTTGTCTTGATTATGTGTCCTTTAAGTTCTCGTTGTTTCTGTCTTGTTGTTGTGTGTAGTTGTTCCATGTCAGCAGGTGTTGCCAGTCAGTTTGTGCTCTATTTTTATAGAGAGTCCGCACTGTTGTGCGTTGTTGTATTTTTACGCTGAGTGCGTTACTTTCCTTGTGCCTCCGGCTCTGTTTGTAGCCGTACTTTCTGTGGACTTTATTAAAGTATTTTTGGACTTGCATCTGCATACTGCATTTGATTCCACACCACACCTACGCCCGTCTCTGACACTGAGAAGCAACCCCACACATGAATGGTCTTAGGATGCTTTACTGTTGGCATGACACAGGACTGATGGTAGCGCTCACCTTGTCTTTTTATTTTTTATTTTTTTTATTTCACCTTAATTTAACCAGGTAAGCCAGTTGAGAACAAGTTCTCATTTACAACTGTAACCTGGCCAAGATAAAGCAAAGCAGTGCGATAAAAACAAAAACACAGAGTTACATATGGGGTAATCAAAACATAAAGTCAAAAATACCACAGAAAAATATATATACAGTTTGTGCAAATGTAGCAGGATACCAAAATGCAAAATAATTACAATTAGTATTAACACTGGAATGATAGAGATGATGTGCAAATAGAGATACCGGGGTGCAAATGAGCAAAATAAATAACAATATGGGGATGAGGTAGTTGAATGGGCTAATTTCAGAAGGGCTGTGTACAGGTGCAGTGATCGGTAAGGTGCTCTGACAACTGATGCTTAAAGTTAGTGAGGGAGATAAGAGTCTCCAGCTTCAGAGATTTTTGCAGTTCGTTCCAGTCATTGGCAGCAGAGAACTGGAAGGAATGGCGGCCAAAGGAGGTGTTGGCTTTGGGGATGACCAGTGAGATATACCTGCTGGAGCGCATACTACGGGTGGGTGTTGCTATGGTGACCATTGAGCTAAGATAAGGCAGAGATTTGCCTAGCAGTGATTTGTGGATGGCCTGGAGCCAGTGGGTTTGGCGACGAATATGTAGTGAGGACCAGCCAACAAGAGCGTACAGGTCACAGTGGTGGGTAGTATATGGGGCTTTGGTGACAAAACGGAGGGCACTGTGATAGACTACATCCAATTTGCTGAGTAGAGTGTTGGAGGCTATTTTGTAAATGACATCGCCAAAGTCAAGGATCGGTAGGATAGTCAGTTTTACGAGGGCATGTTTGGCAGCATGAGTGAAGGAGGCTTTGTTGCAAAATAGTAAGCAGATTCTAGATTTCACTTTGTATTGGAGATGCTTAATGTGAGTCTGGAAGGAGAGATTACAGTCTAACCAGACACCTAGGTATCTGTAGTTGTCCACATACTCTAGGTTAGACCCGCCGAGAGTAGTGATTCTAGTCGGGTGGGCGGGTGCCAGCAGCGTTCGATTGAAGAGCATGCATTTAGTTTTACTAGTGTTTAAGAGCAGTTGGAGGCTACGGAAGGAGTGTTGTATGGCATTGAAGCTAATTTGGAGGTTTGTTAACACAGTGTCCAATGAAGGACCAGAGGTATACAAAATGGTGTAGTCTGCGTAGAGGGGGATCTGTGAGTCACCAGTAGCAAGAGCGACATCATTGATATACACAGAGAAAAGAGTCGGCCCAAGAATTGAACCCTGTGGCACCCCCATAGAGACTGCCATAGGTCCAGACAACAGGCCCTCCGATTTGACACATTGAACTCTATCTGAGAAGTAGTTGGTGAACCAGGCGAGGCAGTCATTTGAGAAACCAATACTATTTAGTCTGCCAATAAGAATGCGGCGGTTGACAGAGTCAAAAGCCTTGGCCAGGTCGATGAAGACGGCTGCACAGTACTGTCTATTATCGATCGCGGTTATAATATCGTTTAGGATCATGGGCAAGTTGCAGCTGAGGGTGCAGAGCTGGTAGTCGGGGTAGTGGTAGCCAGGTAGAAAGCATGGCCAGCCATAGTAAAATGCTTGTTGAAATTCTCAATTATTGTAGATTTATCGGTGGTGATAGTGTTTCCTAGCCTCAGTGCAGTGGGCAGCTGGGAGGAGGGACTCTTATTCTGCATGGTCTTTACAGTGTCCCAAAACTTTTTGGAGTAAGTGCTACAGGATGCACATTTCTGTTTGAAAAAGCTAGCCTTCGCTTTCCTAACTGCTTGTGTATATTGGTTCCTAACTTCCCTGAAAAGTTGCATATCGCGGGGGCTATTCGATTCTAATGCAGTACGCCACAGGATGTTTTTGTGCTGGTCAAGGGCAGTCAAGTCTGAGGAGAACCAGGGGCTATATCTGTTCTTAGTTCTGAATTTTTTGAATGGGGCATGCTTATTTAAGATTGAGAGGAAAGCACTTTTAAAGAACAACCAGGCATCCTCTACTGACGGAATGAGATCGATATCCATCCAGGATACCTGGGCCAGGTCAATTAGGAAGGCCTGCTCGCTAAAGTGTTTTAGGGAGCGTTTGACAGTGATGAGGGGTGGTCGTTTGACCGCGGACCCGTTATGGACGCAGGCAATAAGGCAGTGATTGCAGACAGCTGAGGTGTATTTAGAGGGTATGTTAGTCAGGATGATATCTATGAGGGTGCCCATGTTTACGGATTTAGGGTTGTACCTGGTAGGTTCCTTGATAATTTGTGTGAGATTGAGGGCATCTAGTTTGGATTGTAGGATGGCCGGGGTGTTAAGCATATCCCAGTTTAGGTCACCAAGCAGTACAAACTCTGAGGATAGATGGGGGGCAATCAATTCACATATGTTGTCCAGGGCACAGCTGGGGGCTGAGGGGGGTCTGTAGCAAGCGGCAACAGTGAGAGACTTATTTCTGGAAAGGTGGATTTTTAGAAGTAGGAGCTCAAACTGTTTGGGCACAGACCTGGATAGTATGATAGAGCTCTGCATGCTATCTCTACAGTAGATTGCAATCCCACCCCCTTTGGCAGTTCTATCGAGATGGAAAATGTTGTAGTTGGGGATGGACATTTCTGAATTTTTGGTGGCCTTCCTAAGCCAGGATTCAGACACTGCTAGAACATCAGGGTTGGCAGAGTGTGCTAATGCAGTGAATAACTCAAACTTAAGGAGGAGGCTTCGGATGTTAATGTGCAAGAAACCAAGGCTTTTATGGTTACAGAAGTCAACAAATGATAACGCCTGGGGAGTAGGAGTGATACCTGGGGCTACAGGGCCTGGGTTAACCTCTACATCACCAGAGGAACAGAGGAGGAGTAGAATAAGGATACAGCTAAAGGCTTTAAGTACTAGTCTTCTAGTGCGTTGGGTACAGAGAAAAAAAGGGGCAGATTTCCGGGCGTTGTAGAATAGATTCAGGGCATTATGTACAGTCAAGGATATGGAAGGATATGGGTACAGTGGAGGTAAACCTAAGCGTTGGGTAACAATGAAAGAGATAGCATCACTGGAGGCACCGATTGAGTCGGTCTCTGCGTATATGGGGGGTGGGACAAAGGAGCTATCTAAGGCAGGTTGAGCTGGGCTGGGGGATCTACAGTGAAATAGTACAATAAGAAATAACCGAAACAGCAATAAGCAAGGCATATTGACATGGGAGAGAGGCATAAAGCAATCACAGGTGTTATTCGAGAGAGCTAAGACAACAGCTGGTAATGGTGACAAAGTTTGGGCTGAGGCTAATCATAAACAGGATGCGGTACCGTATAAAGGAACAGTCCAGCAGGCTTCAGCTGTATAGCTGAGTTATCATAAGGTCCGGTGAACAGCAATAGGAGAGTTCGGAGGTAGTTCGGGGGCTTCTACAGCACTGGCAAGCAAGAGGCCACGGCTTGCGTGTGCTAGCGGGCCAGGGCTAGCAGATGGATCTTCGTGGTCGACGTCGTAACGGGAAGCCTGTTGAAACCACATCAGACGATTTCGTCGGCAGACCAGTCGTGTTGGATCGGCGGGGCTCTGTGTCAACACTAGGAGGTCCCATCCGGTTGACAGAAAGGTAGATAGCCGGGAGATGGGCCTGGCTCAAGGCTAGCTCAGGGCTGATTAGCCAACAATTACATCGATTTGGTTGCAGCTAGCTAGTTGCGATGATCCGGTATTAAAGGTCCAGTGATTCAGTGATTCCGGCAGAAAAAACGATATGTTCTGGGTCGATAACGTGCTGTGCAGACAGTGCAGACTGGCTGATAATAGTCCAGGCTAGAGCTGGCTGGTAGGTAGTGCAGGCCACGGACAATGGTGAAAAACCGCTAACGGTGGCTAACAGAAAGTATCTAGTTAGCTGTTAATCCCGTCCGGTAGACAGAGAGGTAGATTGCCGGGATATGGGCCTGGCTCGAGGCTAGCTCGACGCTAACTGGTGCTTGCTTCGGGGGCAGCGGTGATTAGTCAACAGCAACATCCATCCGGTTGCGGCTAGCTAGTTGCGATCCGGTGTTAATATCCAGTGATTCAGTTATTCCAGCAGAAATTCCGATGTTCTGGGTGAAAAACGCTAACGGTGGCTAATAGCAAGTAGCTAGTTAGCTGGTTAGCTAGTTTCAACTGGAGATTCTAGATAAAAGGTAAGTCAATAATAGAATCCGTTCCACATTGAGTGAGGCGCGTTGCAGGAAAGTATATTTTGTAGAAGGATGAAAAGTGTGATAGGGAAATAAGTACGAAAAATACAAAAAAATACAAAAAACAGGCTATTTACACGGACACACAACAAAGAACACAACCGCACTGCTACGCCAATTTGGAGTTGAGACTTAGTAAGGGCCTAAATGCCAAATAAAGTAACAGGGTTGAAGTTTAGATCTTAAATCAGCCAGTTTCAAAAATGGATATGTCTGTGAACATTTCTGTTAAACTGTTTTACTTGTTGATTACTTGTGGATTATGGAAATAAAATCTAAAATCAAGATATGTCAATTTGTTTGTCTACATGCCATTTAAAAACAATGCAGATATTGGAGTAAACCTATTTTGGGTTAAGACAAGTAACTCCGAGTAAGGGCAAACATGATAAGCTTGCGAGCTGAGTTTAAATAAGACATCTGATTACCACTGCATTTAGAACGTTTGGTTTTATTATAGTTAATAAATAACTACATCATTGATGAATCACTTGGTAAAATAATTGCATGTCTCGTCTGCCCCTGGAAGCCGGTGGGCATACGTGTCATCACACTACCGCATCTGATCGGTGGTGACATCCAAACTCCTCAACATGTAATCTATAATCGCGACGCTGGATGATGACGTTTGAGTTTAGGACATAAACAACATGGAGGAGAGAGAAGCGCTGAAAAGGCAAATCGATCTGTTGCAAAGTAATTTGGTGGTTTACAGTACAGTTAACATTACTGATACACTATATTTAATAACTAATACTTACCAATTACAATTGAAAGCTGTCATGCTGGCTGTTGGCTTTGCGAACTACCACGTTCTCTGTTGATGCCTAGCTAACGCTAGCTAATTTAGCTGACGCAAATTTGACGTTGCTAGCGAGATTCACGCTTTTCAACGTTAATTAACCGCTGTTGCCAGTTACCTCTTAACCTATTTCTGTCATCTCACAGATCTCATCAATAACCATAAAAGTATCCATGGTGATGCCCCTTCTAGTTCTGGCCAGCAGTGGCACCCAGCGAGACCACCAGCCCGAGGCAGGAGTCACAGCTCATTTTTCACCCCTACATTCCCCTCGCGGGGTGGGCCTTACTCCCCTCAACACACAGGACACTGGAGGAAGACCTACTCCCTCAGTAGCAAGACCAGTTCATCCCAGCACAGTAGACCTACTACACAGACTGCCAAGCCCTCTCTAGAGCAGCACTTAGATTCTGCAGCACCCAAGTCCTCTACTGGGTTCCTGTCCCTTCATGCTGCAGGCACCTTACTGCCCAGCCACAGTAGTAAGGACTCGGTTAGAGGAGAGAAGGATGGAATAAAATGTGCTTAGTCTAGGGATCTTACAGGGCCAAGGGGCCAGCAGTACGCACTAACAGGGAGTGAGAAGATTTGTGACGGTGACAGGCTAACCTAGCCGGTCTCCTCTCCCCAGAACCACTCCAAGTTCACCTGGGTGAAGAGCCATCAGTCAGGAGGAGCCGGGCCCAGCCTGGCCAGAACAGAGTCCCAGCCCCCAGAAAAACTCATCACCTCTGTCACCACCGCAGTCTCCCATCCTGGGGTCCCTATCAGTTTCTCACCCAGCCCCAGTTCCAATAGGAAAGCCTTTGCCCCCAGAAAGAAGGTTCCCCGTAGGCTCAGTTTATCCACTGCAGTCCCTAAGACCTCCAAGTACACCTGGGTGTCCTCCTCTGCAGGGGCACAGGCCAGGCTGTCCCGGAAGCACCTCTCACCTAAAGCCCTGGCCCTGGCTCTGTCCCAGAGAGCTGCAGAGAAGGGGGAGGGGGTAGCCAAGAAACCAAAATCCCCAAATCTTTTAGCCAAGCAGCGTAAGGCAGCAGGGGCCTCCTCCTCCACCCTCAGTAGTCGCTACCGCTGGAAGGCAGGGTCTGGGGGAGGGGGGCAGACTGGCTCCGGGACAGGATCCCGAGGTGGGTCTGTGTTCCGCTGGACCTCAGAGAAAGAGAACGGGTCCAAGGGGGGGTCCAGTGTCCTTCCATCTGTAACTCAATGCACCGTAGTGCTTCCTGCCTCCTCTTCCCCTGTAGGGTCCAAACTCAGGAGCAGGATGAAGATCATCAGGAGGTCATTTAGCAGGTGAGGAAGAAGAGGATGAGGGCAGCCAGTGATTTATTTTCTCATCCATTCTCTTACTATAGAGAGCAATAGTAATGACGTCTTTTTGTAAGCACTAACTCCGCCATGGCTTGTTGGTCAAAGCCTATGAGGCGATGAATTTATTTTTTAAATACAGTAAATAAGATCTGTGGTAAACACAGGCTTAGGAGATCTTTGATGTTTTCTTCTATGAGATAATTTTCTTCTAACATAACTTTTTGTGAATTTTGAAGCATTTATGTAATTTAAAAAAGCACTTAAATCACATAAAGGCTTTACAATTCATAAAGGTCATGTTAACTCAGGGAGTCCCAAACTTTTTCACTCAGGACCCCCCTCCAGCATTAGGGAACATCCCGCGCCCTCCCTTCCGAGCGCGCACACAACGTCTGTTTCTATTGGCACAAGCACTATTCATGACACAAACCGTTCACACCCCTCTTGTTGGCAGAGAGAACATTTTGCAGGTTTAAAGCTTATTTCCTGCAATTCTACACAATTTGTCATGGGGTACAGAGAAAATCTTGCAGTTTTCAAGCTAATTTTCTTGCAATTCTGTACATTTGGCCATGTATGTTTATTCATGTGATATTTGAGTGACTCAAACATTACAACAAAATCTATGGGCTAAAAAACGTTAGCTGACTTAAAAAACTTTAGCTGACTTGGACTAGTTGATCTGTACATTTCTGACAAGTTATAAATAACTCTCTAAGGTATGCAGTGACTGACATGACGAGGAAATCTGATGACGCACTAACCAAATTTGAAATTGCACCTTGTGCATTCTACTATTACACCTTTCAAGAGTAAGTTGAAAGCAGGACTGAGCCCCCACCCCTGCGCCCGCCCCACAGTTAGGGAACCACTGTATAAGATCTCTTAAGCCTGTGTTAACCTTAGGCCCCAAATTCCTATTCTTAATATTAATTTTCCCCATAGGAATGGCTGAACGAACCAGAGGTAACTTCTTTCAGTTTTTTAGGACTACGAGCTGGCGAGCTCTGTTACACACTTTAATAGTAGTAATGCATGCTAGAATACTGTAGATCAGCCTCTCTTTTGTCTGTGAAAAATAGTTCTGCATTTGGGCAGAGGGTGGCAGCAAACCTCTACCTTTGTTTCAGATTTTTTTTGACACACTTCTCTCTGTCTCGCTCTCTCTCACACACACACACACACACACACACACCTCTAACACACACTCTCCAATGTATTACAGTGGGTCTGGGGCAGAATGGAGATCCAGCCCAGCAGCCACGACCCTGAACAGCTGCTACTCTCTGCGCCGGAGGACACACACCGCGGTCAGAACACAGACCGCAGTGAGAACACACACCCTGGTCCGGAGCCCAGGGGCTGTGAAGAGGACCCCGTCCCTTGAACTGGTCTCATTTGGCAGACACAATCTACGACGTCTCTCCCCAGTCCCTCCAGGAAAAGGTGGAATAGGGGGCAAACACACGTGTCATATTAGGGCAAGTAGGCTTTTCTGACCTTGGCTAGTGACCTGAACAAAATAAACAACTCTGCCCCCAGTTACAGTGGGGAAAAAAAGTATTTAGTCAGCCACCAATTGTGCAAGTTCTCCCACTTAAAAAGATGAGAGAGGCCTGTAATTTTCATCATTGGTACACGTCAACTATGACAGACAAAATGAGAAAAAAATTTCCAGAAAATCACATTGTAGGATTTGTAATGAATTTATTTGCAAGTTATGGTGGAAAATAAGTATTTGGTCAATAACAAAAGTTTCTCAATACTTTGTTATATACCCTTTGTTGGCAATGACACAGGTCAAACGTTTTCTGTAAGTCTTCACAAGGTCTTCACACACTGTTGCTGGTATTTTGGCCCATTCCTCCATGCAGATCTCCTCTAGAGCAGTGATGTTTTGGGGCTGTCGCTGGGCAACACAGACTTTCAACTCCCTCCAAAGATTTTCTATGGGGTTGAGATCTGGAGACTGGCTAGGCCACTCCAGGTCCTTGAAATGCTTCTTACGAAGCCACTCCTTCGTTGCCCGGGTGGTGTGTTTGGGATCATTGTCATGCTGAAAGACCCAGCCACGTTTCATCTTCAATGCCCTTGCTGATGGAAGGAGATTTTCACTCAAAATCTCACGATACATGGCCCCATTCATTCTTTCCTTTACACGGATCAGTCGTCCTGGTCCCTTTGCAGAAAAACAGCCCCAAAGCATGATGTTTCCACCCCCATGCTTCACAGTAGGTATGGTGTTCTTTGGATGCAACTCAGCATTCTTTGTCCTCCAAACACGACGAGTTGAGTTTTTACCAAAAAGTTATATTTTGGTTTCATCTGACCATATGACATTCTCCCAATCCTCTTCTGGATCATCCAAATGCACTCTAGCAAACTTCAGACGAGCCTGGACATGTACTGGCTTAAGCAGGGGGACACTGCAGGATTTGAGTCCCTGGCGGCGTAGTGTGTTACTGATGGTAGGCTTTGTTACTTTGGTCCCAGCTCTCTGCAGGTCATTCACTAGGTCCCCCCGTGTGGTTCTGGGATTTTTGCTCACCGTTCTTGTGATCATTTTGACACCACGGGGTGAGATCTTGCGTGGAGCCCCAGATCGAGGGAGATTATCAGTGGTCTTGTATGTCTTCCATTTCCTAATAATTGCTCCCACAGTTGATTTCTTCAAACCAAGCTGCTTACCTATTGCAGATTCAGTCTTCCCAGCCTGGTGCAGGTCTACAATTTTGTTTCTGGTGTCCTTTGACAGCTCTTTGGTCTTGGCCATAGTGGAGTTTGGAGTGTGACTGTTTGAGGTTGTGGACAGGTGTCGTTTATACTGATAACAAGTTCAAACAGGTGCCATTAATACAGGTAACGAGTGGAGGACAGAGTAGCCTCTTAAAGAAGAAGTTACAGGTCTGTGAGAGCCAGAAATCTTGCTTGTTTGTAGGTGACCAAATACTTATTTTCCACCATAATTTGCAAATAAATTCATAAAAAATCCTACAATGTGATTTTCTGTTTTTTTTTTCTCAATTTGTCTGTCATAGTTGACGTGTACCTATGATGAAAATTACAGGCCTCTCTCATCTTTTTAAGTGGGAGAACTTGCACAATTGGTGGCTGACTAAATACTTTTTTACCCCACTGTACATCAACTGTACCTCCAAAATCAATGTAGGAATAAATGGAGTTCCTTTCCATTCTAACATTTTTATTTTATAAATTTCGCTAGCAGGGTTCGGGTCAATTCCACAAATTAAATTCCAACTCAATTCCCTCTCCATATAAATTCCATCAATTCAATACAAAATTCCATAGCAGTTCTTCAATTCAGAGTAAATTTAACTCATCTTTAATTCCAATTCTGAGTCAATTAAAAAATATAATTCCTAATTCATTATTCTGCCACAACAATTCACACAATTCAATTAATCCCAAATACCAATTCTAAGTCAATTCAAAACTACAATTCTTAATTCAATATTCTGCCACAACAATTCAAATAATTGTTTTGAATTAATTTCCTTCTTCTTTCAACTCAAGCCAAACACAACCCATCTACCTCAACTCATGGCAGATTCCAAAGACAAATTTAACCTCTTAACGAACTAAGAGGGAATATTCCTGGTTAACCTCAATGTCCCCTGAATTCTGAAAATGTTCAGGAATTTGGGGAATTACCTTAACATATAAAATAATACAATAAGATGCTTTTCAAATTAAAACATCCAATCATAAAGATGTAAAACATCATCTTAAATATAACCCATCCAAGTTATTTGTATGTGTAGAGTACAGAGATGAGGTAGTCATTCCAAAATAATTTTAAACACTATTATTGCACACAGAGTGAGTCCATGCAACTTATTATGTGACTTGTTAAGCACATTTTTACTCCTGAACGTTAGGCTTTGCGTAACAAAGGGGTTGAATACTTACTGACTCAAGACATTTCAGCTTTTCATTTTTAATTTGTAAAAATGTCTACAAACATAATTCCACTTTGACATTTTGGGGTATTGTGTTTAGGCCAGTGACACAAAATCTAAATTTAATCAATTTAAAATTCAGGCTATAACACAACAAAATGTTGAAAAAGTCAAGTGGTGTGAATACTTTCTGAAGGCACTGTATGTTGTAGAATTATAAAGCAATACAAAATCATAAGGTAAACAATACTAAGTGGAATTAGAAATTTCCCTCCATATAAAAGGCATCCTTAAGTGATAGTTCACCCAAATTACAAAATGACAATGCCATAGTTCATAAACTGCTTAAGGCTAAGGAAACCAACACGTAATTTTGGTGAACTATCACATTAATTGGACCTGTATATTGTGCGTCAACTCCTCATTAGAAAACATTAAAACAAAAAAAATTGTATACAGTAACGTATATAATTATAATGATTTGATTTAAAACAAAGTTTGCATTCAACTTCAATGCAATAATAATACATGGTCATAGCCTCGTGGCTATGACCACATCACAGCATTGATAAAAATGTCATAACCCATGGCCTCTCATATATTATTGTTTTTATACAATGGGTTACCAGCATGAAAATGCAAGATTATTTCCCAAACTATATTTTTTTCAACAAAACGTGATGCTACATTCACTAACTGGTTGTCAAGTGCAATTTTAGCCATTCTATGGTCGTTAATTCTATTCATATTGACTGCCATGTAAAGCAAAACTACCCAAGCGCCAGTTAATAGTTCCAGAACTCTGCAAGTTGCTATGGCAAACAAAAATGGTTGCTATGGAGGCTCTTCCCCCCCATCCCCTTGCTAGCTAGCCAACTAAACAGCTAACACAATCACTTCAGACTGAAGCTGGAAAGACAGCAAAGTATCTGCATTACGTTTAATTTGACCTGGTTTTTTTATACAGTGGGGAAAAAAAGTATTTAGTCAGCCACCAGTTGTGCAAGTTCTCCCACTTAAAAAGATGAGAGAGGCCTGTAATTTTCATCATAGGTACACGTCAACTATGACAGACAAATTGAGAGAAAAAAATCCAGAAAATCACATTGTAGGATTTTTTATGATTTTATTTGCAAATGATGGTGGAAAATAAGTATTTGGTCACATACAAATAAGCAAGATTTCTGGCTCTCACAGACCTGTAACTTCTTCTTTAAGAGGCTCCTCTGTCCTCCACTCGTTACCTGTATTAATGGCACCTGTTTGAACTTGTTATCAGTATAAAAGACACCTGTCCACAACCTCAAACAGTCACACTCCAAACTCCACTATGGCCAAGACCAAAGAGCTGTCAAAGGACACCAGAAACAAAATTGTAGACCTGCACCAGGCTGGGAAGACTGAATCTGCAATAGGTAAGCAGCTTGGTTTGAAGAAATCAACTCTGGGAGCAATTATTAGGAAATGGAAGACATACAAGACCACTGATAATCTCCCTCGATCTGGGGCTCCATGCAAGATCTCACCCCGTGGGGTCAAAATGATAACAAGAACGGTGAGCAAAAATACCAGAACCACACGGGGGGACCTAGTGAATGACCTGCAGAGAGCTGGGACCAAAGTAACAAAGCCTACCATCAGTAACACACTACGCCGCCAGGGACTCAAATCCTGCAGTGCCAGATGTGTCCCCCTGCTTAAGCCAGTACATGTCCAGGCCCGTCTGAAGTTTGCTAGAGTGCATTTGGATGATCCAGAAGAGGATTGGGAGAATGTCATATGGTCAGATGAAACCAAAATATTACTTTTTGGTAAAAACTCAACTCGTCGTGTTTGGAGGACAAATAATGCTGAGTTGCATCCAAAGAACACCATACCTACTGTGAAGCATGGGGGTGGAAACATCATGCTTTGGGGCTGTTTTTCTGCAAAGGGACCAGGACGACTGATCCGTGTAAAGGAAAGAATGAATGGGGCCATGTATCGTGAGATTTTGAGTGAAAACCTCCTTCCATCAGCAAGGGCATTGAAGATGAAACGTGGCTGGGTCTTTCAGCATGACAATGATCCCAAACACACCGCCCGGGCAACGAAGGAGTGGCTTTGTAAGAAGCATTTCAAGGTCCTGGAGTGGCCTAGCCAGTCTCCAGATCTCAACCCCATAGAAAATCTTTGGAGGGAGTTGAAAGTCCGTGTTGCCCAGCGACAGCCCCAAAACATCACTGCTCTAGAGGAGATCTGCATGGAGGAATGGGCCAAAATACCAGCAACAGTGTGTGAAAACCTTGTGAAGACTTACAGAAAACGTTTGACCTGTGTCATTGCCAACAAAGGGTATATAACAAAGTATTGAGAAACTTTTGTTATTGACCAAATACTTATTTTCCACCATAATTTGCAAATAAATTCATAAAATATCCTACAATGTGAGTTTCTGGATTTTTTTTTTCAGTTTGTCTGTCATAGTTGACGTGTACCTATGATGAAAATTACAGGCCTCTCTCATCTTTTTAAGTGGGAGAACA